TCGCTTGGCTTGGCTGTTGCTAACATTCATAGACTTCATCCGCGACCCAGATGACCCAGAGTTCCACCCCGTGCGCGACGTTCTGGAACGCAACGTCATGACGCAGCTGCGAAAGATTCTGTTTTCCGCATTTGTGTACGGAGCCTTGGTTATTGTCTGCCTTGGTGGAGTGGTCTGGGGCTTGTCCCTTACGCTCCCCAACGTTTTGCCGATCCACTACTCGTCGAACGAGCCGGTACTCGAGTTCCCCATCGATCTGCTCTTCTACAACTTTGCTATGCCCTTGGCTGTTAAGTTCTTCAAACCTAGCGACGGCCTGCACGCCATGTACACTTGGTGGTTCCGCAAATGCGCCAGAGGTCTGCGCCTGACCTGGTTCCTCTTTGGCGAACGACGCATTGATGAGGAAGGTATTCTAGCTCTGCGGCCTGGTTCGGAGCACGACGCTCTGCCGTGGTGGAGGCGCCTGTTCCTCGAAGTCAACAAGCAGAACAAGGTCGTGCCGAAGACTTGGGAGGACACTTTTGAAGGGGGCACAGCCAAGCCGGTGTCGTCCATCGCAAATGACCAGATGATGATTCTGACCCTGAAGAAGGCTCGCCTTGTGGACTCTGGCCAGCTGATCGAGGACGGCTGCTTCGTGCGCACGCCCGCATCGGACCAGGTAAAGATTCCGAAGGGAAGACGCGTATTCATGCCAGTTACTGAAGCCAACACTCGGCTGGACGGCAAAGATGACTCTCCCGACACCGATCTTTACTCTACGGACCAGTACCAGCCGGTGTATATCCCCCCGCATTTCCGAGTCCGAGTCTTCCTTTTCATCATGTTCATCTGGATCTTCGCTGCCGTTACGGGTGTTAGCTTCACAATCGTCCCGCTCGTATTCGGCCGCAAGATGTTCAAGGTCCTGATTCCCGCACACATTAGGACCAACGACATCTACGCTTTCAGCATTGGCATCTACATCCTCGGTTCGGTGGCATACTTCTTGTTCCATGCCAGATCCCTCTTTAAGAGAATGACGGCTTGGGCTTCAAACGCATTACAGACCGTATGGCATAGCGATGCTCCGATGAGATTTGCGCTTGTCGGAATCCAGGCCGCCAAACTTGTCTACACATACACCGTTCTTCTAGTCGTTTTCCCGCTTATCCTCACCGCCCTCATGGAGCTATACTGCCTTATCCCTCTCCATACTTACATGTATCCCCCTACCCCCTATGTCGTTGAGGCGAACAGTGGGGGCCAGTTCAAGGATGGGATCGTCGTGCCGAACCATCATACTGCGAGAGTTATCCAATCGTGGACACTGGGTCTGCTGTACGTCAAGCTTGGCGCTCGCGCCATTACAAGTCTCTACGAGGGTACGCGCATGGCCCAGGCCGTTCGTGCCGTCCTTCGCCGCGGCTGGCTTCAGCCTGACGTACTCATCCTTACCCGGGCGTTTGTCGTTCCCGGGGTTCTCGTCGGCGGCCTGGCTATCTTTGGACCTCCATACGCCGTCGGCTGGATGCAGTCCCACGGCGCGCTCGGAACGCCTCTCCCGGCTCCTCACGAACTCAAGGTGTTCTACAGACTGTCCTACCCCGCCGCGGCATTCAGCGCCCTGGCTTTGATGGCATTCTGGAGTGTTGTTGGCGTGTTCAACAACTGGAAGGCACGTATCAGAGATGAGGCGTATCTCATCGGGGAGAGACTGCATAACTTTGGGGTTGGTGCTGCCGGTGCGGCAGGCGCCCGCGGGCCTTGGAGAGTCAGGGGCAGGTTGTGATGATGCGGCTTGCTACTAGACGGGCTTGACTGGCCCGAGCATTAATATAGATGATAACATTGGGTCTCGGCGAATGGCGTCGTTTCTTGTACGCTGTACTGTAAAGTAGGGCGTCTTCCTTGTATTGACCTACTCCGTTCATACGACTGTCGCAGTGGAATCGGTGACTTGTGATTGCGCTGCGATGGCTCTCGACCCATAAGCATATTTTGCAATGCCACGCTTGATGAAGAGGAAGAATTGATTGCTTGTCATTACTCATTGCATTCTAACGTGATAGCTCAACCGGCCGCGCATCTTTGTCATGCTTCATTTACCAGTGCTTGCCATCTCATATCATACACATTCCCCCTTCCACCACATACACAGCATACCCACTTAGAAGAACAAGGCCGCACCGCCAACAGCAGCAACCAACGAGACCAGCAGGCTTGCCCCCGCGCCCGCGCCGAGCAGGCCGGCAGACGCGCCCGGTGCGGCGTTGGGCGTGCTCGAGCTCGAGGCGGCGGCGCTTCCGGATGCTGAGGCGGAGGGCGACGTGCTGCTTGAGGCGTCGCCGCCGTTTACCAGCGCCGTGAGGGAGGGGTCGGAGGAGAAGTCGACGGTGATGGAGGCGTTTTTGCAGTCGGAGTTTGTGGCGGCGGTACCTGTGACGAAGTTCACGGCGGCGCACTGGGAAGGGTTGGGTCAGCGACTGCGTATACCTCGCCATCTTCGCTTCTCATCAATTGGGATTGGACTTACAGAGTAGAGCAGCCCATCAGGCGAATGCGCAACAACACCGAGCACGCCCTTTTTGCCGGCGTACTCGGCGGGGACGGCGATCTGCGGCTCGCAGAAGTTGCCGAGGCCGGTCTGCAGGACGATGGGGAAGACCTGGGTCCAGTTGCCGGACGCGGTCTGGTCGAGGGTCGCGCGGAAGAGCCAGGTGGTCTGCGGGTGGCCGTTGGACATGCCGACGGCGTCGCCGGCGACGTGGAAGTCGGTGGTCGCGGAGGAGGCGGAGGCGGAGTAGCCGCCGCAGGGGCCGGTGCCCTGGTTGTCGTCGCTGTCGCCGAGGGGCTTGGGGAGGGTGAGGGAGAAGTGGGCGAGGGCCGGGGTGGAGAGGAGGAGGAGGGGGAGGAGGCGGGTCATGTTGGCGGTTGGTGATGGGTTTCTTGGTGGTGAGTGTGTGGATGTTGGTTTGTGAAGGTGAGGTAGGTGAGTGTGAGCGGCCGGGAGAGAATTAGGTGAAGGAAGGTTTGGTGATGGGGTGAGAAGCTTTAAGAGGGAGGTTGAGTGAGTGGTCAATGGCTGGGAGGAATAACTACCCGAGCAACGGCTCTCATAAGGCTAGCTTGGCCCGCTAGAATAGGTTTAGGTGTAGGATGTGGAAGCTCTTGAGCTTCTCGTTTCTCTGTATGACATGGGGTTGTTTCCGTGTCACTGGCAAGCTAAGCAAGCTACCTATCCCGCGGGGCAAATATTGCCGAGTTGGAGCCGCGACGGCAAACTACCTACTTCACCTAGCACACGCATGCCGACGTCAAGGTAAAGCGACCATGCTTCTAGTGGCCCGCTCTATATCCGTTCAACTGACAGCTGGTCACGATGCCATAGCAGAGAGCATACTACGACCTCGCTGCTTTCGGGACTCGGCACGGGCAAGAGCAGCGCGACTTAGCTTAGCTTGGAAGGTGTTCTGGGTAGCTTGTTCATTACATGCGTTGGCGTGGAGGCGACTGAGAGAGTGCAGAGGCATGGTGAGAGAAACTTGCTCACTGCGGTCCAGATCCTCGAATACGCTAGCTTTTGAGCCTTTCATGGTTGCATGCGCCGGACCCCTGGAGATGCAGGCACCGGGCAGATGTCCATCGCCTCAGAGTGTTCGGGGGACTCTTGAATTTCGGAATCTGGAGAACCGATGAGGCTCTTGAGGACAGTCAATTTCCCCTTCAAATAAGCATATGTTTTTTCTGCTTCATCTCGAGTTCCACTACGAGAGGGGGGACCCTTCAAACGTGGGGAGGATAACGACATCAGGAAGGTTGTTGTGGTTTGGGTTTTGCTGGACGAGGATGTTGGTTTAACCTTGGTCGGGTTAGCTCCAGATGCGAGCAGGGGCTCCGTTGGCTTCGGGGGCGGGAGGTTGGCCAATCACAGACTCGGGATTTGGATGTCACTGAGAGGTTTTGAGCAAATTGTGGCGTTTGCGCGGGTTTGATCTGGGGGACCCCTGTCTTCTTGTTTGGATAAGGCTCGAGGGCGCGGGTGCATCTCAGTCATCTCTCGTGAGCACGTTGTCTGTGGAATGCTCTTGGGAGTAGAGATTCTGTCTGGTTTAGATGGACATGTGTGCAATGGTACTGAAGAGTGAGAAAAGTGGAGAATCACGGTTACATGAGGAGGAAGATGTGAATCGCCGATGAAGTGTGTGTTGTTGTTTGGCCGTGGTTTGGTGTAAGTGTCACAAGGTGACAGGACACACCATCGAGCCAACCGTTCACCCCGAGTCAAGGGAAAGGGCTCGAGGTGACAGGAAACAAAACCGAAGGCGAAGGAGAAACAAAAAAGACAAAATGCGAAAACGGGGAAGAAGATCCGATGTTTTTGGTTGACTGGCAAGGTGGTGCCGAAGACAGGCCATTCCTGTCGTGTTGCGAACCTTGTCATCGCACATGAAGAATCCCTCAGATTGAAGTGTGTGTCTGGACGGCCGGCGCTAGCGACGGATGGCTGCCCATGCTTGCGCATTTGTGCCGCCGCTGTCTTTCCTCTCTTGACATTGAGACCTTTTTTTGGACTTGTAATCATGTGTGGCGTGCCCAGGTGTGAGGATTCTTGAACTTGCTCAATCCACCTCATTCTTACAACGTCTTCGCCTCCTCAAACGTTGGCATCGCCGGATCTTGAGATCCGAGAGGCGCATTTTGTCATTTTCGGGCTTGGTATTGAGGACGCAAGAGGCCTGTCTGATCGAAATGATTTCGAGGCGTCTGGGTCTTGTGTAACGGCTGTTCGGTCATTTCTTGCGACACCTCCAACTTTGCGGCGGCCTGGCGACATTTCGATCACGAATACCGAATACCCTGATTTATTGAGAAACAGCGTCGATTACTGGAAGTTTGCCGATTACAACTTCTAGCACCCGCGACCATCGAGTGACACTAATTCGACATCAGAGGCCATCGCGATGAGCCACGACCATGGAGGGAGCAGCAGCGGGGGAGACATGGGGGGAATGACGATGGGAACCGCCCTCTTCCAGGATACGAACGTCCAGCTTGCCAAGTCATTCTGGTACATTATCGCCGGCGTCGTTGGGTTCTTGGGCATCATTCGCGGTCTCAACTACCTCGAAGGCCGCAGACGGTACGAACCTCACCCTTCATCCCGCCATCATCGAGACAAAAGCTGACTGTCTACAGACTAAAACGATGCCACTCAGAATCAGTCCAATTCCCAACACGACCGACAAACCACATAACACAAATATGGGCAACCGCAACAGCCCTCGCGCGCGAAGCAGGCCATCCGCAGCTCTACATCCCCATCAAGGGCCTGCGCTGGGCCACGCCGCCGCCCCTCGGCCGCGTCCTCGTCCTGCTGGCCTACTGGGCCGTCATCATCTACATGATGGCCGCCGACGCCGTCGTCAAGGACGCGTACTTCTGGGAGCGCATCGGGTTCCGCAACGCGTGGGTCACCATCATGCAGATGCCGCTCGTCTATCTGCTGTCGATGAAGGTCAGCGTCGTCGGGTTCGTCACGGGCACGTCGCACGAGCGGCTGAACTGGCTGCACCGCTGGGTCGCGCGGACGATGTTTGTTACGGCGACGGTGCATGGGTTCCATTTCTGGACGGAGTGGGTGAGGGCGGATTTTGTCGAGACGCAGCTGAAGATCATGCCGTATATCAAGCATGGTATGGGTGCGTGGGGGTTGTTGGTGTGGGCTTTCGTGAGCGGGATGAAGCCGGTTCGGGGCATGGCGTACGAGGTGTTCGTGGTGCAGCATGTGCTCTCGGCGGTGATCTTCATCTGGCTGGTGTATGTCCACATCCCGGTGTACGCGAGGCAGTATCTGTGGTTTACCGTGGCGCTCATCTGCTTCGATCGGCTGGCGAGGTGGGCGCTGCTCGCGTGGCAGAACACGAGGCCAAGGTTAGGCAAGTCGTCGTCTTCGTCGTGTAAGGGGATGAAGAGGCTAGGCCACGAGGTGCAGGTCCGCGCCGTGGGCTCCTCGACGACGGTACTCACGATCAAGGATGTGCACTTCTCGTGGAAGGCCGGCCAGCACCTATACCTCTGGCTGCCCCGCGTCGGGCCGTTCGAGGCGCACCCGTACACCATCGCCTGCGCGCACCAGCTGCCGAAGACGTGCATCTGCAACAGCATCCAGCTCGTCGTCCGCTCGCACGGGGGCTTCTCGCGGCGGCTGCACAAGTTCGCGGAGCGCATGGCCGGGTCTGGGAGGAGGAAGGACACGCTGACGGGCTTCGTGCTGGGGCCGTTCGGGGCGCCGCCGCGGTGGGACATTTACGAGACGATGGTGCTGATCTCGGCGTCCACGGGGGCGTCGTTCACGCTGCCGATCCTGGAGAGCATCGTGCACAGTCGACGGAGGATCTGCACGACGCGCGTGGACTTTATATTGATGGCGCGCCAGGGCGAGGAGATTGAGTTCTACACGCAGAGGCTGCGGGAGGCGATGGATCGGGCGCAGGAGGTTGGGATTGAGCTGCAGGTGCATGTTGCCATTACGAGGTCTGGAAAGGCGAGGGAGGGGGAGATGACGACGGTGTTGTACTCGGATCGAGACACGAGCTCGGGGTCGTCGGCGCAGCATCGGCGGATCGCGTCGGACGGGTCGGAGGATGGCGGGGGGTATCAGGAGAAGGGGGTGATGGACGTCGAGAAGGGGGGTGCTGGGGCTCCGTTGACGCCGAGGCGGAGCGGGTCGTCGACGGGCATGGTGAAGGAGTATTACAGCCGGCCGGATCTGAAGGAGCTGATTCGGGATCCTGTCGAGGCGGCGGGCGGGGAGACCTCTGTGGTGGTATGTGGCGGCCAGTCGTTGACCAGTTCCGTGAGGAATTGTGTTGCTGCGTTGTCTGACGAGAGAGCGGTCCATAAAGGGACGGGGGCGCAAGGGATTCATCTGTTTGTTGAGGAGTACTCATTTTAATGTATACGTGAGTGACATGAAAACTGCATCAAGTTTGAATATTTCCACCAGACTTGCTCCCGTTCAGGTGATGAGAGGTAAATGGGCCTCTCAGGGCCTCCTCGCCTGTGGAAAGCATGCGTATCTCCAGACTTTCGATACGACTCACTATCTACATATCATGCTATCGCGGACAGATGGCTAATAGAGACCAAGACGTAGCTGGCATGAAATCAAGTTTCTCCTCGTACCTGGCCTGAAGTAGGACTTGAACATAAAGGAATACGCGTGGACTGCAGTGCTTGTAGGTCCAGTCTTTCTCTAATGCGATTCGAAAACGAAATTCATCGTTCGCTAGAAAAACAGTGTCGATCTCTCCGCGTGTGAGCCACTTAGATATTTCGCCGCGGGATAGAGAATTGGAGATGATATAAAACCACCCGAAATTATGATTATTTCAGTTGTCCGCAAGCAGAGATGATAGAACGGTCCTAGGAAGTGTAAATCAAATCGATGACTGATCACACACCTTCAAGTCAGCTGAGCCCTCATAAGTCATCAGCAATGGCGCGGAGGAGTAAGTGGGAATGGGTTCAGGCTCTTGCAACCATGGATTAAACAAAAGTATTGTGGCTCTTCAGCAGCTCCTGTCGACTGCCGATGAGCCAACGTCTAATGTCCAAGAATGGTGAAACTCAAACTACGAACAAGAAAGGAACACCGGTGAGAAGTGGAAGACCGACACTCACCGAAGCTCCACCGGTAAAAAAAAATCCCATCGCGGGGCAGTGACTCGGTGAAGTGTACCCCTCCATGCGTCACCGATACCCCTCGTTCGGTGAGACCCACGCTCGGTCAGCAGCCAATGGCATGCGCGAATCGCTCTGTGAGTCAGTTGGGCTGGTCCGCAATTTTTTTTTCGCGGGTGACAACTGCCTCTGCCCGGCGAATCGCAAGACCCCTCCCTCGATCTTTTCCCCCTCCCCTTGTCTTCCCTGCAGCCCAGTCCAGTCATACCCCTCGATGACTAGCGTCGTGCGCTTCTTATTCTCTTCTTTTTCTTCCTCTTCACTTCGTTCAGCCCACGTTCAAACCACCAGCTTGCGCCGAGGACTCTGTTCTGCCAGCTTCCACTCGACCACGCGACCCTTCTCGACCCCGCGTCGACCGCCGTCTAGTCGTCCCCAAGTTGTCGTCCCAACATTCCGACACCTCTCCAACCTTTCCTCGAGTGCACACCCCACCATCGATAGCCTCGCCATCATGTCGACAGAACAGATTAACGCCCAGCTGGAGAAGCTCTCCCTCGGCAAGCTGGAGTCCTTCCCGGGCTGCTACCCGGACGTCAACCCCGTCGACGTCTACCGCTCCCACATCACCACCATGTTCCACGAGGTCACTGGCGTCGAGAAATCCATCATCTACAACGCCCTCCAATGGACCCAGAGCTTGGACAAGGGTGACATGGTGCTGGCTGTCCCTGCTCTCCGCATCAAGGGCAAGAAGCCCGCGGAGCTGTCAGAGGAGTGGCTCCCCAAGGTCAGTTTGCAGCTCTCAATGGCACTATTGCGCACGCTGCAACAATCAACATGCGCTACTGTGGACTTGACTAACGCATTGGTGCTTCCAGTTCCCCGAGTCTCCCCTGATCGAGAAGCCCGTTTCTTTCCAGAACGGCTCATTCTTCCAGTTCTGGTTCAAGCCCGGTCCCTTGGCCCAGCTTCTCCTCCCCCAGGTTGCCAAGCGCGGCAAGGACTTTGGCAAGAACCACAACAACGGACTCAAGGACCCCAAAGACCCTTCCCAGGGCAAGAAGAAGATCATCGTCGAGTTCTCCTCCCCGAATATCGCAAAGCCTTTCCACGCCGGCCACTTGCGATCCACAATCATTGGCGGCTTCATCTCCAACCTGTACGACGGCGCCGGCTGGGATGTCACTCGTGTCAACTACCTCGGTGACTGGGGTAAGCAGTACGGTCTTTTGGCGCTGGGCTTCGAGAGGTTCGGCAACGAGGAGGCCCTGGCCGCTGACCCCATCAACCACTTGTACGAGGTCTACGTCAAGATCAACGCCGAGATGAGCGCCGAGAAGGAGTCGATCGAGGCCAAGGAGAAGGCTGGCGAGGATGTCACCGCGCTCAAGGACAACAGCCTGGACGAGAAGGCCCGTAAATACTTCAAGGCCATGACAGCTGGCGATGAGACTGCCGTTGCTCAGTGGAAGCGATTCCGTGATCTCAGCATTGTCCGCTACAAGGAGACATACGCTCGCCTGAACATCCACTTCGATGACTACTCTGGCGAGAGCCAGGTCCCCGAGAAGGACATGGAGGCCGCGGCCAAGAAGCTCGAGGACATGAAGATCTCTGAGGAGTCGCAAGGTGCTGTTATCATCGACTTCACAAAGCACGTGCCTGGCAAGGCTGGCAAGAGTCTGGAGCGCCCCATCATTCGCAAGAAGGACGGTACTGCCCTGTACCTGACCCGAGACATCAGCGAGTTGCTGAACCGCGAGAAGAAGTACGGCTTCGACCACATGATCTACGTTGTTGCATCTCAACAGGATCTGCACCTTAAGCAGCTCTTCAAGATCATTGAGCTGATGGGCTACCCCGAGACCGCCAAGAAGTGCCAGCACATCAACTTCGGCCTTGTCCTCGGCATGAGCACTCGAAGGGGAACCGTCAAGTTCTTGGATGATATCCTGCGAGATGTCGGCGACCACATGCATGAGGTGATGAAGAAGAACGAGTCGAAGTATGCCCAGGTCGAAAACCCCGAGGCCACTGCCGACATTCTTGGCATCAGCAGTGTCATGGTCCAGGACATGAGCGGAAAGAGGTAAGTCGTCTGGACTTTGGCCCCGGGCACTTTCGGATGCACTGACATGGATCGACTAGGATCAACAACTACAAGTTCGACATGGACGCGATGACTTCCTTCGAGGGTGACACGGGACCGTACCTCCAGTACGCCCACGCTCGTATCTGCTCCATCTTCCGCAAGGCTGGTCTCTCGGAGGAGGAGATTGCCACTGCGGATCTCAGCCTTCTGACTGAGAAGCATGCTATCGAGCTTATCCGCATCCTCAGCCAGTACCCTGATGTCGTCCAGAACACACTGAAGACCCTGGAGCCGACGACTGTGCTTACGTACCTGTTCCGCATGACCCACGTCGTGAGCAGCAGCTACGACCACTTGCGTATTGTAGGCAGCGAGCGCGAGCTCATGAAGGCTCGCTTGGCTCTGTACACTGCAGCCAGGACCGTGCTCTACAACGGCATGCGTCTGTTGGGACTTTCCCCGGTCGAGAGGTGAGTGCACCAAGCGCTGGGCGACGCATCTCGTTGCATGTGAAACTCGTTACTGACCAGTCAAACAGGATGTAATGTGGCACTGTAGAAAATCATTTTTGTGGGAGGCAAAACTGGAGGGGAATACGGCCAGCTCGATATAGACTGGGCAGCCGGAGATGAGAAACGAGAGCACTAACAGCGGGCGCAGGAGCAGTCGTACGAATGACGATTGTGACGAGGAGCTACTGTGGTGCCAGGCCGGCACAACGGCCACTAGCCATCAGCCACAACGAGAAGCTACGCTATCTTGGCGAGCGCTTTGGACCGATGTGGCGCCGTGTAACAAAGAACACCCACGGGCGAAGGATCAAATGCTCTCCGGAGTCCTCGAAGGCCCCGTGGCCGCGAGGTTCATCGGAACAAGCAGATGACACGACCCAATGGATTCGCGCGTGCGCCAGCCGTTACAGTGCTGATTAATAAAAGTTGAAGTTCATAAAAAAAAAAAACTAAAAAAAACTGGAGATGAGGCGCAATGTTGACTGACGAATATCTGCAAAACGAATGCGATGAGATCTGGACGCGCAAGATTGCATGGCAAAGCCCCATTCTCCTAGTAGGGCTGCTTGCTTCTCTGCAGAGCATCGCAGACAGCAAGGCAGAGCAGAGCATAGCAGGCACGCAAGGCTGCAAAACGGGGGCAGAGCTCAGCTAACGGTCCCGCTGAGCACTGTTCGTGGACGGTTCGAGGTCATGGTGAAGCGCGGATTCTGCCCAGAGGACAGATTGAGAGAGCCGCGACGGTGTCGTTTCGCCCGTCCTCAGGTGAGAAAAAGTCTGCCCCGTCATGACTGTCAAAGCAACTTTGTGCAGCCCATTTCTGCAAGCCGCGACGCCTTCGATGGCTTTTTTCCCCTGGTCCTCCCGCAGTCCCGTCCAACTGCGTCAACGGGCTGGCTGGGTGGCTTTGTCTGACGCTCGGTGACTGCGTGGGGGATTCCATTCTGGGCGCCAGCGAAGTGATCGACTCGCTCGGATAGCGCTAGGGCGTCCTAATCCCTGCCAACACCGAATCTTGCATATTCCCAAACGCTAGAGATGCGATGGCTCTCGACGGCTCTGACTGGTTCGCCATAGCTCAGGGCAGTTCTGAGTGGCTGCCCAGTACGATGGACGGCTCGCACGCTTGTTGTTCCTCATCTCCGGCTGCGAGCCGCCTCCGCGCACCGTGGCTTGCAGTTGATCGACACCAGTAATCTACGCTTCAAGACTCCGATGACTACGTGACGCCCTGATTGCTTTTTCTTGCCAACCACCGAATGCAACATTGTCAAGAGCTACCTTTCCCCCTTGAGACTGTATTGACTCTACGAGGCCGAGACTGACATCTTGCCCAGACACCGAGTTATTACACCTCACCAACCCATCGCATCATCAAATATCTGCCGATGCGTTCTGCGCTGCCCTTGCGCCTTCAGTGCGGAGCACATTGCGGGCTCGGCATCAGCATTACCAGCATCAGCACTATCATCATGGCGTGAGCCTTCGCATTATCTATCTTACCTCCGAGCAAGGCGTAAGCGAAGGGAGAGCGCGAGAGAGAGAGCCGCGCCTTAGCGGCAACGCTTTTGCCTAGAATGCTTCCAAACCGCGGTGCCAACTGCCCATCTTGCCAAATTTAGGCGACGGATAGTATGATGTTCCCTTTTTGTGCCTCGCTCCAAGGTTTTAGCTGCAAGCTACTGTTCTGTCCGGCAACCTGGCGCCTTGTCTGTGCCGAGACCGGATGAGCCCCGACCTCCGGCACCCACCGCAGTAGCTCTACCTGAGGGACGGTGCCTGGGCATATGGTTCAGATGCCCAGTGGGCAAGACCAAGTGAGACGAGGATGATCCCTTTGGAGGCCGAAGAGATCCTTGGGATAGGTGGCATGGCTTGCATGGGTGTGTCCTCTTCGCCGACCAGAGATATCGACTCGGCCAATCTTTTGACCCCTGTGTTTTGGACTTCCCGCGGCTGCAACGCGCATCCTACCATCAACCCATATTCTAACCATCTCCTTGGGCCCTAATGGCAAGAGGAGCCAAGGTCAAACCCTGCTGAGGTCTGGGAGGTATGATGGCCTTCCCACACGCCCTGCAAGGACGGGCATCGGCCTTTGCTAGCATTCCGTGAGCTCCCACGCCTAGGAAGCTCTCGGGGCTTGTACCTCTGGAGCTCCCCGTCTCTGGAGGCGAACTCTGCGTGTCTGATGTTTGCCTGTGATGGAGCTCAGTCCCCGACGTCAGAACTCAACGAACCATATGTCCGGGAACAAGCCAAGCAAGCACAACGGCCGATATGCAAGCGCAACAAGTCCTAGTTGTGCAAACCTTGGGAAGGATTATCCCCTCACCACGGACCAAGACTCTGGGCTGCCCTCCATCCTCACCGCATGTCGTTGTTTCCAAGGCGGAATAGTGGCGTCCAACGAACCGCTGGTCCTGGCCTGACCTGACCTGGTCTGACCTGATTGACATGTTGCCGCCGCCGTCGCCCGCCCACCCGCCGCCGCCGCCAACGCAGCTGTGCGCCGATCTTTGTAATTCGTAATGGGGGTGGACTACCACACTACCCTCGCCTTTGGCGCTTGGGGACAATCCGGCGTGTGTGAATGTCCACACGCGGGTCAATCATGTTTCCAGACAAAGGGACCGTTGAGCGTTCTCCGTCGGCCCGCTTGGGCTCCAAACGACCAGACGGCTTGAACGTGGCCCTGACTCTTCTTATTAACAGCCCAGAGACACACCGTCCGTCAGACCCGTCATCGTGGTTCTTCTCTTTTCCTGTTCTTCCTGCAACAGCGGGAGACCTTACTCACCCATTCCTTTCTTGCCTCTTCGACCTACCCTGACTTTTTTTGTTGAGGTCGTTTACTCTTTCCTTTCTTCATACCAAGCATAGACCGACGAAACTTCCACCATCAACTTACTCTTATTGTGTAATTCTTCTTCGAGGCCAGCAAACATGGCCATAGGCGTGGCACTTCTCGCCTTTATTGTCTTCTGCGCATGGCGCCTATACTCCGCCATCAAGCTGAAGAAGAGGCTTCCTGAGGGAGCTAAGCCCCTTCCTGGGCCCAAGGGTAGGCTGCCTTATGGGTGGTGATGATGACTACGATGCTCACAGTCGACAGGTCTTCCTTGGATTGGTCGTGTACACGATGTGCCGGCGGAGGCAACATGGCTCAAGTTCTACGAGTGGGCGAAGGAGTACGGCCCTATCTATGGGCAGGAGATGTTCGGATCCTACCACGTCTGGATCTCCTCCGAGCAGATCGCTCATGACCTTCTCGGCCGCCGCAATGTCATCTACTCAGACAGGCCTATGATCCCCAACCTGCCTGACAACAGGACAAGTGGCGACTACCTTGCCCTGCTTGGCCGCACCGGTAGGCAATACTCCTCAGCTTCCACAAGTCAGTGACTAATGGTAGCATGCAGACACATGGAAGCGTCAGCGCAGACTCTGCCATCATCTCATGAACCAGAGCGACAAGGAAGAGCTCCACGCTTACCCGACCCGTGAGCGCGACCGCTTCTTGTGGCTTCTCTCTCAGAACCCGAGCGATTATCGCGAGTACGTCGAGCAGTTCACCAGCCGTACCGTAAGCCGTCTGTCATGGGGAACCGCCCACCCGGCCCGCATCCTCCGCAAGACGACCTTCGGCCTGCTGGAGACCATCTCCCCCTCCGGTGCCCTCCCTAACGTTATCTCATTCCTGATGCACGTTCCGGATGTCCTGTCGCCATGGAAGAAGAAGGAGCGCGCCCGTCACGAGCTCGAGTCCCGGCAGTTCAAGAGCAATGTGGACTTCGTCGTCGACCAGGTCGAGAAGGGTACCGCGCAGCCCAGCTTCATCAGCACATTCGTTAACCAGGGTCTCGGCGACGAGAAGGAGAAGGGCAAGTGGGGCGATCTGAAGGAGGCTACCAATGTCGTTGGTCTCATGGCCATCGCCGGCGCCCTCACCATCGGCAGCCCCATCCAGAGCTTCCTGCTCGCCATGTTACATTACCCCGAATGGCAGACCAGATTGCAACGCGAGATCGACGAGGTTTGCGAGGGCAGGTGTCCTCAGTGGAGCGACCGCGAAAAGCTGCCCATGCTGAGAGCCGTTGTCAAGGAGGTCATCCGGTGGAGACCCCCCGTTCCTACTGGTATGTGCAGCGATCCCTCACCGTAAGGCTGATTTTAGGTTCGCATGACTGACGGGCTGTTACAGGCATCCCCCACGCTGTCGAAAAGGATGACGTCTACAATGGTTTCTTCATCCCTGCCGGTGCCACGATCCACGCTCTGGAATGGTAAGTTTCCACAAAACCAAAGACATTCCCCATCGGACCGCCGAACTGACGAGACATTCTTAATCAAGGGGCATCACCCGCGATGAGTCAATGTACCCCGACTCCGAGACATTCAACCCCGACCGCTGGCTGCAACCGTCGTACCCCACCTTCAAGGAGCCTCTCACCCGCTTCCCCAACCTCGACGGCTTCAGCCAGTTTGGCTTTGGCCGCCGGACGTGCCAGGGCGTGCCCATTGTCGACCAGGACCTCTTCCTCATCATGGGCGGCATGGCGTGGGCGCTCAACATCACCAAGAAGCGCAACGCGGACGGCAGCGAGGTGCCCGTGCACTGGAACGACTACACGCCTCTGCTGATCGCCAAGCCGGCCTTCTTCGAGTTCGACGCTACCGTGCGCACGCCCGAGAAGGCAGACATGATGAAGGCCATGTTCGACGCCGCCAAGGAGGAGGAGGAGCACGAGGAGAAGATGATGAAGGCGGGCATGCCCGATATTGGCGACGTGCCGGAGAGGAAGCAGGCGCAGCAGCAGGAGACCGGCGGTGCAGCGAGGCGGGCGTCTGTGTTCTTCAACCTGAGGCAGCGCAAGGAGGAGGGCGAGAGGGAGAAGGTGTACCGCGAGCATGAGCGGGATATCCCCGGATGTCCCGGCCGCTGGGCGACGGAGAGCGATGTGGAGTCGTCGAATGAGAAGGGGTATGTTGACGATGACAGCTGTTCCGGGCGGTCATCGCCGACGATGCTGCCGTAGTTCTGGGGACTGTTGTGGGGTAAGTGAGTATGGAGTGACGGAGCCAAATTTGGTTTGATATCAGGATTCCCTTTGTTGTTTTTCTTAAGCCCATCTTTGGGAAAAAGATGCCGACGCTACTGGAGGAGCTGGGGTAATCTGGGGTCTAGATTGTGACATGGATATACCTTCTACGATGTATGAATATAGAACAAGAATCTTTCAACCAAAAGATCAATTATCATTAACTGCAATCCCCTTTCTGCGTGAATTTGGCGATGAAGCTTCTGTGGACTAGATACCAGATCTTGCCATGTTATTCTTGGCACATTGCGGCAGCCCCAGAATACATCCCGCTCAACTACTGAGCTGCGCGGATGAGTGATAATTTGATGACTTGCGGCGGCAGGCGTGGGGGTTGTGCAAGTCCATCAGAGCGACCAGCCCTCTCTGCGCGCTGCTTTCGATGGCAACTCACGTTGTAAACACATGGTCATATCTTCAAGCCGAGTGTGTAGCCATGTTCATTTAATGATTAAAGCGCACATGCCAGCTTCGCCATGACAAGTTTCATTGACTACGCATAGGGCGGGATGCACACCGTCGACAAATCGTGCGTCTTCAAAGAGGCGGACGCTCTCAGGCTCGCTCGGGTAAGTGCAAAGTAACCCAGAATCATAGCCCTCTTCATTGCGACATAAGCTCAAGTTATTTACTTCAACTGATGCTTCAAAATTTGCAGCGCATGCCCTGCTAACGAACTATCTGGGCTTAGGGACTGAAGAAAGCTCAAGCATGTGTTAATTATGGCGCTATGTTCTGATGTGGTAAATCCACAGAACGCCTCGAATTTGGAGAGAATATTTGCAGCCGCAAATACAGGAAGAATGCGAGACCTAATTAATTTCAACTTTGGTTAGTAATGCTTCGAACATTCACCCGTATGACGCTAGTGTTTGCTCACCAGATGAAATGTCGAGGCGGATCTGAATCCATTTCTATAATTATGTCGTGTATTTCATGAGCAGCGTCAACGCAGCGTTTGATAGCTGTTGTGTGCTGTCCTCTGTCCCCTGCCGTGTCCTCTTGAATCGTGCGGTTGATAACTATACGGTAGTAGTTGCACAATAGCCTGATGTTGTATCGCTGCCACCTCACCCATTCCTCTTCATTGTCGCCGACGGCATCAAACGTCGTGGACCCTATGGATGATCGAAGATGGGCGGGTAACTGAGTAATGACGGCGGTGAGTTGATCATTGGTCTCGGTGACAATTGTTGAAATTCCAGGGCTATCCAAAACGTTCAAAAGACGGGTTTGGAAGTGACGAAGAACCGAAGCAAGCTTGCAGAGCGCTATCAAGTGCTGTACTGGACAGAGAGCGGGGGTGAATCCCTCAAGATTGACACCGAGCGAAACCTCGACGTCGTCGAGCTCCAACGGTTGATCGACTGTGAATTCTGATTCATCGATGCAGCTATGTCCGAGCGGCAAGTTCAACCAGTCATTTGCTATGAGCGACCAGAATAAGCGGCTTTGATACTGGCTTTCGAGCGACATCCCTCCGTCTATGTTTTGATCAAGACCGACACTGTGGCAGATGCGGGCGGCACAAGACCACAAAATGTAGTACATGTTGAGCTCGCCGAAATGAACGTAGGAGCCGCCCAACAGTACGATGGTTCGCACGTTGATCAGCCTCGGATTCCTGATGAAGTCTGCGGCGTGAAGGAAGAAGACGGATGCATCGAACCAGTTGGCTCGGTATTTTTCCAGCTGATCTGAACGGCGGCGCCATTAGAAGATGATTTTCACGGCAAGAGGCATAGAAGAAGGAATCCCCACCCTTGGATATCCCCATCGACTCGGCTTCGGGCAGAGTGAGGAAAAGCACTGAAACCTGTGGCCGAATTAGCGATAGCACCCATGAAGCTGCATCGCAGACTAGACCTGCCGTTAGGTACGCGAAGTACAGTCCTAGCCGTGCTGGATCGCTATTTGTGTGGAAGCCTGCCTCACCAAATTCCGAAAAGAACTTATCGTGGACTTCTTGGAGTTCCGCAGGGTTCAAGGAGCAATTAACCCAGGGAACCCAGTTCGCGCCGTGAGTCAGAATGCATTGGCTAAGCTGCTTTGAGGGCAAAACAACGTCCTCATTCCTTTTGACTGTCAAGTCCCGTGAGTGGCTCCGAAGACGGTTGTAGAGTGAGTTCTCAGGGTCATCGATCTTGTGCAGCCGAATGCACCTCCCCGGACGCGTCGGCCTCTGCCCAGGGTCTGCCTTCAAAGAGACTAACTCCTCTCGGAGAGCGCGATTTTCATCAAGCAGTTCGGCATAGGTTGGCTGAGCATCATCCGCCGACGGCGGGCGGCCTTTCACTCGAACAAGCTCAGCAGCGCAGGATTCTGCCTGGCCCCGGACCCGGCAATTGCGGCAGGGCAGGTTCTTGTCACATTTCACCTTGCGCCTCGCACAGAAAGTGCAAGATTTCACGGTGCGCTGTGACGAGCGTAACTCCGATGTCATGGTAATAGCCCTGCTTCTGGTGCAATTGCAGAGTTCAATGTTCGATTCAACTAATGTGGTCTGAAAGCACAAATGCCCGATGGCTCAAGCTTATTGGCGCTAAAACTCGCCCGAGACTCGGCCGTGGAAGAGTCAAGCCCTACGTCATTTCGGACTGTTACGGAATGAGCCTGGACCTCAATGGCAGCAGTTGTAACAGTGAGGTGTCTTACAGGGATTTCTCCGATTCAAGAATGATGGAGTTAAATAAGTGGAGTTGTTAAATCTCTCATTTTCCGTCAACTCGCCCGAGGTCGGCCGTGTTTGTATCAGCCACCGCTTTCATCATCGTAGAAATAGCTTCGCACAAAATTCTGAACAACTTCGAGCAGCTTTTCTTCTCAGTGAAATTCGTAGATAGACGTGTGTTCTGCCGCCGTTGAGTTCAATGTTTCCCGGAATAGAAACTTATCCAAAGAAATCAAGTTCCTCACACCGGGCTGGCTTGCCCTTGATCCATGTTTTATTATTTTCACCCACAGCCCAACACCTTATGACGGTTTCAAAAATGTCCTTACAAATACGACATTCTCCCATAGGCGTTCTCATCAGGGCATTTTCAAATCGCCGACTCCTTCTCTACCCCGAAGAGCAGCCTGATTTCAAGCTGGACCTGTCCCTTCACGGGGGGCTCAGCAGCAGTTGTAACACCGCGACTTCTACGATTAAAACCTTCCGACCCAACTCAATCGCCGACAATTCTTCCGGCAACCAAGATGATATTTCCACTGGTCATCGCAGTGCGACTGTGGGATGGTATTCACCTGACGATCCTGAGAACCCCAAAAACTGGACGAATCGAAGTCGAGTTTTGATTACTCTCATCATTTGCCTGTACACATTCGCTATATACACATCTTCGGCTATCTACATTGCAGCTATCGAGGATGTTATTGTTGAGTTCGACGTTACGCACGTCGAGGCTTCGTTAGGACTAGCTCTATTCGTCCTAGGCTACGGCGTTGGACCTCTCCTATTTTCCCCTCTATCTGAAATTCCTAGCATCGGTCGCAGTCCCATATACACATTAACAATGACTCTCTACGTCCTTGTGTCTGTCCCAACTGCGCTCACAAAAAGCTGGGCCGGCTTTTTGACTTGCCGGTTCTTTCAAGGCTTTTTTGGTTCTCCTTGCCTTGCCTCAGGCGCCGCAACGCTCGACGACATCTACGGACCGAAGGGTTTACCATTCGCTCTCACGACCTGGACCAGTGCTAGCTTCGTAGCCCCCGCGATCGGGCCTTTGCTGTCCGGATTTGCGGTGCCGGTGATGGGCTGGCGCTGGTCCATGTGGGAGATCCTCTTATTGTCGGGCCCAACACTAGTCCCGATGCTCATGCTGCCAGAAACCTCAGGACCAACCATTATTCATCGGAGAGCACAAAGACTGCGCCGCCTCACTGGACGGAGTGACCTGAAAAGTCTCGAGGAGCTCAACTCTGGCAAATTGACAGCGTCTCACGTTCTCAGAGAAGCTCTTATTAAGCCGATTGAGATCACCGTCAAAGATCCGGCTGTGCTCTTCGTCCAAGTGTACACTGCTATCAATTACGGCATTTATTATTCATTCTTTGAAGTTTTCCCTATAGTCTATACAAACCTATACGGCATGACAACGGGCGAGGTCGGTATCGTCTTTCTGTGCATTTTGGTTGCGTGCATTATCGGAGCCGGATCTTACTTCATATTTTTGAAGTTTTATATGATCCCGAGAATGCGCCTGTCAAAGTCTGTCGTCGAACAGGAGACGCGACTACTTCCCACCCTCGCCGCGTCTTTCGGCCCGACAGTCGGCTTATTCGTCTTTGCTTGGACCTCCTCGCCACACATCCATTGGATTGTGCCAACAATTGGCATCACGATCTACAGTGGGAGCGCATTCATCATCCTGCAATGCGTATTTGCATATATCCCGCTGTCGTATCCTCGATTCTCTGCGAGCCTCTTCGCTGCAAATGACTTTTTTAGGGGCACGTTCGCTTTTGCCAGTATTCTGTACGCGAGACCTTTGTTCGAAAATTTAGGAATTGCTCGTGGGTGCTCCTTGTTAGGAGGTCTTAGTACTATTGGTATTGTTGGGAGCTGGACGCTGAACTATTGGGGTGCTGCTCTAAGGGCTCGGAGCAAGTTCGCAGATTCATAGCTTCAAATAGCTCTCACAATCTTCCCGTGAAAATAACGTGTCTTTTCTTGATCCCAACAGCTTGTGACATCGTCACGCAAGCAATCATTAGAGGGTCGATGAGAATAATGGGCAGATCCGTACCGCGGCCGCCAAGCCATGATCATCTCTGCCAGTGTTACCCACCCCCGAGTCAACCAAAATGCATCCCATCAAGCGCAAGTGGACTGAAGGACGTGGCATTTATGGTTAAAAACGTTCAGATAAAATCGACGCTGATTTGGAGAGATTGGTATTTCCTATGTATCTAATGTTCCTCGGACCTGCGGATTCTTCTTAGTCACACTATGCTATCTTGTGTCTTGATAGCTTGCCTGATGATTGATAATCACCTGAAATTGGTTATTAATTACAAATTCCAGCCGTATGATAAGAAATCTTGAGGACGTGATAAGAGATGATATGAAGGTTGAGTACCGCGATCCTTGGCAAGAATGGGATCAGCGCTAGCATTCACCGACTGAGATAGGACTTCCTATAGGTAACCAATTGGATCTTTGCTTCTAATCTATCATAAGTCGAAGTGTTCATTACCAATACTTTTATGAAGCGAAGATGGTGCGGATGAATAAGTATATACACTTCAAACAAGTTCAAAACGCGGACACAAACCCTCAATTTTCAACCCGGATTCGTCCCAAGCCAGCATTTTTTAGTACCCCAAAATAGCCCTTTCATAAAGGTCTCTCTCTCAGCGACATGATTGCAAACGCCTTCGCCCTTACTTTTGCGTTTTTATCGGTGGCGCATGCCTTGAAAATCCACGCCGAGCCAAACCTACAGAAAATCAAAATTGCTGCCGCTCAGGTCAAGCCCGCCTACCTTGATCGTGCCGGCACGGCTGACATCATTGTCGATTGGATTGACAGAGCTGGAAAACAAAATGTCACTGTCTTAGGCTTTCCTGAAGCCTTTTTACCAGGATATCCTTCTTGGTTCTCCTATCATCCTGTCGACAGCAACTTGGCGTACAAACTTCACCTCAAGCTTTTCGAAAATGCGATTTCAGTTCCTGGCCTCGAGACCGAATTGATAGGTGAAGCATGCCGTAAAGCTGGCATCTATGCCGTAATCGGGTGCTCTGAGAAACGAGAAAATACTACTGGAACGATGTGGAATACACAGCTGGTCTTCGGACCAAGTGGTGATATTTTACTAAAACATCAGAAATATGTTCCCACGACCATGGAACGGCTACCGCACATGCCTGGCACAACTGGATCTCAGGCAGCTATTCAGACGGACTTCGGCGGTCTCTCAACGTTGATCTGCGGGGAGAACTCCAACCCACTTGCTGCGTACAATCTTGTGGTGACCGACAGCCCAACTGTACATGTTGCGTCCTGGCCGACTCATTTCGCTGGTGGATGGTCTCTTTACAATTGCACATTGATTGCGTCAAAAGCTCTTGCATACACAATGAAGGCCTTCGTCATCAACGCCTGCGCGGTCATCGGAGACGACGCAATTGATGCTTGGCAGCCACCAGATGATGAAAGGAAGTTAATTGCCGAGGAACGAAAGCATGGTTTGTCAACCATCATAGATCCCATGGGTGAGATCATTGCTGGTCCAGCAGAAGCAGGCGAAACGCTCCTGGTCGCGGAGGTCGACCTAACAGAAACCGTGGTTGCCAAGTACACGCACGACTTTGGTGGTCATTACAATCGGCCGGACATATTTGCGCATCTCTTCACGCAATACTTCAGCAAGGATACGTAGGTTACAGGAAGTCCGGGCGATGCGAATCGTGGCCTGTGCTTGAGGCCGTGATCGGCTACTCAATGTTCGAGTTCGGATCATGGAAACCCGTACACTTAGCTGTAATTGGCAGCCTACCAGTCAGTATCTGAGTAAAACAACTGCAATTTACACCTGTGGAAAATC